GGAATTCTATTCCTAAGCATATACCTCGAATAACTGAAAACAAGTGTTCAAACAAAAAGTTATATACAAATGTTCACAGCAGCATTACTCATAAGCACCAAAAAGGAAAAATACCTCAAATGTCATCACCTGATGAGTAAGTAAACAAAATGTGATATATCCATACAATGGAATATTATTTTGCCATAAAAAGAAATAAAGTACTAAGACATGCTACAACATGGATGAACCTTAAAAATAGTATGTTAAGAGAAAAAACAAAAAAGCTAGTCACAAAAGGTAACATACAGTATGACTCCATTTATACAAAATGTCCCAAACAGGTAAACCATAGAGACAAAAAGTAGAAAGTAGGAGAGAATGGGGAGTGACTGCTAAAAGATACAGCATTGCTTCCCAGGGTGATAAAAATATTCTGGAATGGCCTTGCAGCAAGGATTGCACAAGTCTGTGAATATACTAAAGACACTGGATTGCATAGTTTTGTTTCGTTTTTTTGAGACAAGGTGTCAGCCAGCAACAGCCCGGGCTAGAGTGCAGTGGTATGATCACAGTTCACTGCAGCCTCAAACTTCCAGGCTCAAGAAATCCTCTTGCCTCAGCCTCTCAAGTAGCTGGGACTACAGGTACACACCACCATACCCAGCTAATTTATTGTTAAATTTTTGGTAGAGACGGGATCTCCCTGTGTTGCCCAAGCTGGTCTGTAAGTGCTGGGCTCAAGTGATCCTCCTATCTAGGCCTCCCAAAGTGCTGGGATTACAAGCCTGGTGGCTCATGCCCAGCCTGAACTTTTAATTGGTAAATTTTATGGTATGAGAATTATACCTCAATAAAACTGTTATTAAATCAATAAATAAAAGCTAAGTCTCAGCTGGGCACAGTGCCTCAAGCCTGTAATCCCAGCACTTTGGGAGGCCAAGATAGGCATATCAACTGAGATTAGGAGTTCAAGACCAGCCTGGCCAACACGGTGAAACCCCATCTCTACTAAAAATACAAAACAACAACAAACAAACAAACAAAAAAAACTTAGCCTGGCATGGTGGGGCACATGCCTGTAATCCAGCTACTCAAGAGGCTGAGGCAGGAGAATCACTTGAACCCGGGAGGCAGAGGTTGCAGTGAGCCAAGATCATGCCACTGCACTCCAGCCTGGGCAACAGAGCAAGACTTCGTCTCAAAAAAAAAAAAAAAAGCAAAAAAAAAAGCAAAGTCTCACCCCTTTTCTTCCTCTAAGTGGTGTTAGATGGCAACCAAGCACTGAAAAAATAAGATTTAGTCTCCACCCATAGGCATTCTCAGCCCAGTGAAAAAAATCAATGCAGATGGTGGTTCACGCCCGTAATCCTAGCACTTTGGGAGGCAAAAGTGACAGATCAGCCTGGGCAACATGGCAAAACCGGTCTCTAGAAAAAAATACAAAAAATTAGCTGGGCATGGTGGTGCATGCCTGTAGTCCCAGCTACCTGGAAGGCTGAGGTAGGAGGATCACCTGAGCCTAGGAGGTCAAGGCTGTAGTGAGCTGTGATTGTGCCACTGCACTCCAGCCTGAGTGATAGAATAGAGACCCTGTCTCAAAAAATAAAAAAAAGAAAAGGAAAGCAATGCATATAAACAAACAATCGTAATATAATGCAGTAAGTATAATCTTATCGACAGGGTGTAAAATACTACAGCAACAAAAATGGACTTCAAATAGACTGAAGACCTAAATATAAGGAGGAAAACAACTTTAAAAAGTGTTCAGAAAACACTGGAGGGCCAGGTGCAGTGGCTCATGCCTGTAATCCCAACATTTTGGGAGGCCGAGGTGTGTGGGACATTTGAGGCAGAGAGTTGGAGACCAGCTTGGCCAACATGGCAAAACCCTGTCTCTACTAAAAATGCAAAAATTAGCTAGGAGTGGTGGCATGCACCTGTAGTCCCAGCTGCTTGGGAGGCTGAGGCATGACAATTGCCTGAACCAGGGAGGCAGAGGTTGCAGTGAGCCAAGATTATGCCATTATACACCAGCCTGAGTGACAGAGGGAGACTCTGTCTCAAAAATAATAATAATAATAATAATAAATAACAAGAGGCCAGGCATAATGGCTCACACCTGTAATACCAGCACTTTGAGAGGCGAAGGCAGGCAGATCACCTGAGGTCAGGAGTTCAAGACCAGCCTGACCAACACAGAGAAACTTGTCTCTACTAAAAATACAAAATCAGTCCGGTGTGGTGGCGCATGCCTGTAATCCCAGCTACTCTGGAGGCTGAGGCAGGAGAATCACTTGAACCTGGGAGGTGGAGGTTGTGGTGAGCCAAGATCACACCATTGCAATCCAGCCTGGGCAACAAGAGCAAAACTTTGTCTCAGGGGGTTTAAAAAAAAAAAAAAAAGAAAGAAAACACTCGACAGTATCTTTTTGACTTTGGGGTAGCACAGGATTGTTGTAAAGAAGATACAAAAAACACAATCTAGCAAAATACTTGTATTTTATTTATTCATTTTTTTGAGACAGAATCTCACTCTGTTGCCCAGGGTGGAGTGCAGTGGCACGATCTCAACTCACTGCAACTTCCGCCTCCCAGGTTCAAGCAATTCTCCTGCCTCAGCCTCCGGAGTAGCTAGGATTACAGGCGCAGGCCACCATGCCCAGCTAATTTTTGTATTTTTAGTAGAGACTGGGTTTTGCCATATTGGCCAGGTTGTTCTTGAACTCTTGGCCTCAAGTGATCTGCCTGCCTTGGCCTCCCAAAGTGTTGGGATTACAGGCGTTGAGTCACTGCACCTTGACCTAGGAAAACTTTTAAATTAGGCTTCATTAAAATTAAATTTTGTGCATCAAAAGATGCCATAAAGCAATTCTAGGGGAAGATATCTAATGCTCACAACTAAATATGTATCACTCCTAAAAATCAATAAGACTAAGAAACCAAAAGAAAATCAGGCGAAGATATAAAACAATTCACAGGAAAGGAAACGTAACTGGCTACTAAATACAAAAAAAGATGTTCAACCTTACCAGCAACCAAGGAAAGACGTTAAAATAACAAGATACCTTTTCATATGCATCAGACTTCCAAACATGAAAATACCAAATACTGTTAAAAATATGGAGAAAAGAGCGATTTGGTGATTATAGCAACAAAAACTCATGGAAAAGACAATCAGAGGTGGAATGAACAGGACTTGGTAACTGACTAGAAGGCAGAAGTGAAAAGAAAGGAAGGGGTTAAGAATAACTGTGAGGTATAAGCCTGGCATTTAACATGGACTGGCAGTAGAGGGAAGAAGGTTTCAAGGGAAAAAAAAAAAAGGAAAAAAAAAAGAAAGAGCTTTCCTTTTAATATTTTCAGTTGCAAATAAGTCCTCTTAACGAAGGAAACTAACATTAAAAGAATGTGGATTTGAAAGGATCAAGGTACATGCTACAATAGCTTCTATCCAAATTTTGTTTTACTGAATGAACTAGATCAGATGTCTCATGCTCAAAAGGTCACACATGAGGTAGAGAGATTCAAGTTCCAGAAAACATCTTCCTTTCTGTCAAACTTTAAATACAAGTGTTTAATCTCCCTATAGGAAGTAATGCCCCACTTTTGAAAAGGTCAAACTTTCAAGCTGTCTACTTCTGTCATTAAAAGAAAGCAAGTGTCACAGGAGTCAACCTGAGGAGCTCTCCAAAGGCCAAACCTAGGAAAACACAAGCAACAAGATAAATGACAGTCATGGATCACAATGCATACAGTAAAATAAATATCTATGATGCAATTACTGTAAATATATGAATTATAGATATTATGTTTTTTTGTTTTGTTTCTTTTTTTGTTTTTTCTTTTTTTTGATATGTTATAAATATATTATGATAAAGATTTATTGCAGTTATAAATAACTGAACAAACAGGATAAAAGACAGTTGTTTTCTTATAGTAGAATTCCAATTTTAAAAACATACAAGAAATGATAGAGAAAATCACCCTCTGGCAAACAGCAGAGTAATAACTATTGCAGACAAGACCAGTATGATACTTAGAGTTTCAAAGCATTGCCCAACTAGACACGTAAATACAAGCAGAAAAACAGTAACTTTACAGCGGAAAACCTAGCACACAATCACCTTACTCAAGTGACCAAGGTTAACATGACCTGTAATGAGACATACCAACATCATATGCTTCTTGCTGAGTAGGACAGAGCATTACTTTTGGGATAGAACTGTAGAAAATGCATGACGTGAATCTGATCATGAAGAAACATCAGAAAAACCCAAACTGAGAGACGTTCTACAATTTGAGAGCCAGTCCTCTTCATGTGTCAAGGTCATGAAAGACAAAGAAACTATCTTAAATTGGAAATAAAAAAGTAGGAAAACATGTAGCTCATCTTAAATAAACTTCTCTAAAAAGGTTAAAATGGGAGCCACGGTGCTGGACGGGGTAAATTTCAATTAGCTGGGAAAAACACTAATGTGAACTACCTCACTCCCACAAAGCATCAGGTGAATAAGGCTTTCTATTTTTAAAGATATATGGATCTTCACCCAGCTGGCATTAGCCAAACATCTGAAACAGTCCATTATGAAAGATGACCGATTTTCTTTTATCCTTTACCCAAATAGCTTCATTATAGTGTTATATATGTGTCACTTGAAACTTTTTGTCACCTATTTGGCATCAAGCACTTTTCTAAACCCACCAAAGCCTACCACACAGAACACTTTTTTAAGATGTTAAACCTCAGTGGAATTATGGGTGATTTTCTTTTTCTACCACCTAAATTTCATGTAAGTTAGCAACGCTAAATTATAATGGAAAATGAAAAACTTGCAAATAAAAGAAAATTCACTATGACCAAGCTCTTGATTTACTGCCTTGGCTATGTCTGTCAAATAGCAAAGATTAAATGCAGCCTTGGTTGTAAAGAAGTCAATGTACCAGACGATTAATACTGTGTATCAATTTGGCCATTTCCTTGGATACATTAACATGGCAATGGGAAGAAAAACACCTACCTCTACAGTATTTGCAATGTAACGGTTGTCACCTTCAACTTTGACAAGGAAGTCATAATAACCACTGGAAAATTTGACGTTCATGAAGTTTAGTTCAAAAATATCCCTGTAAAGAATGACAACAGGCTTAGCAAGAACTCAGGTAGGAAAGTCATGGATATAACAAACAGAAACGTCTCCTAGAGACTGTCCAAGGCCAGCCCACTCCTTACCTTTTTGACTTCCTACCCCACTTGGACAATCTTGTGCCTTTTATTTTGACACAGGTTCTCACTGTTGCCCAGGCTGGAGTACAATACCATCACAACTCACCACAGCCTCAAACTCCTAGGTTCAACTCATTATCCCAACTCAGCCTCCCCAGTAGTTGGGACAGGAGGCATGCACCACCACGCCCAGAAAATTTTTGTGGAGACAGCATTCTGAGAGCAAGTGATCCACCCGCTCAGCCTCCCAAAGTGCAGGCTGGGGCATGAGCCACCATGCCCAACCCTCGAGCTGAATCATATATTACAATGTGGAGAAAACGATCTAAAATGAACATCCCTAGGTTTCCAATGTTTTCTTTTTCTTTTCCTTTGTCACTCCCACCACTCCTAAAATCCAAACTCCTTCTGGTAGCTTTCCACAATGTAATATAAAATTGGGAAGTTTACAGTATGATCCCGATGATGTTTCACGATGACAATGACAAAAATGTAGAAGAAAATATCCCAAAATGTACAAAGAGGTTGGTGTAGGATAGTATAATTGGGGCTAATTTTTTGGTATGATTTTTATCTTTCTGTGTTTTCTGAATTTCTCAAAAAGGACATATCTTACTTTTATTAAAAAATATTTATTTTTATTTTAAAGGGGGAAAAAAAAGTAGAGTTCCTAACTCTATCGCAAAATCTCAGTATCTTTTACCACTCCCCTGATACTTCTACAAGTGATTTTGCTTTTTCATTTCACATATTGCCTAGGTATCTTATAACTAAGAAATGTATTTTCTCTCTAAAATTGAAAACTCCTGATCTCAGTAACTTAATAATTTAACACTTCTAAAAGTTCCATACAGGCCCAGTGGCTCATGCCTGTAATCCCAACACTCTGGGAGGTAGAGGCAGGCAGGTCACTTGAGGTCTGAAGTTCGAAACCAGCCTGACCAACATGGTGAAACCCTGTCACTAGTAAAAACACAAAAAATTAGCCAGGTGTGGTAGTGGGTGCCTGTAATCCCAGCTATTCAGGAGGCTGAGGCAGAAGAATTGCTTGAATCCAGGAGGCGGAGGTTAGAGTGAGCTGAGATTGCACCATTGCACTCCAGCCTGGGCAAGAAGAGTAAAACTCTGTCTCAAAAAAAAATAAAAATGTTAGCAAAAGTTTCTCTAAATAGAAAAAATAACAGAATTATGGGTGAGTTATATTTCCTTTTTTGTGCTTTTCTGTATTTTCCTATAATAAACATTATTATTTATCAGAAAAAAAATCAATAAATATTAAATTTTAAAATAGCTACTTATAGGCCAGGCACAGGGGCTCATGCCTGTAATCCCAGCACTTTGGAAGGCTGAGACAGGTGGATCGCAAGGTCAGGAGTTTGAGACCAGCCTGGCCAACATGGCCAAACCCCATCTCTACTAAAAATACAAAAATTAGCCAGGCATGATGGCGGCTGCCTACAATTCCAGCTACTCAGATAAATAGCTTGAGGCAGGAGAATCGCTTGAACCCAAGAGGTGGAGGCTGCAGTGTGTTGAGATCGTGCCATTGCACTCCAGCCTGGGCAACAAGAGCAAGACTCTGTCTCAGAAAAAAAAAAAAAAAGCTACTTATGTCACAATGACAAGACAGAGCCAACTAGAAATAAAGAATAAAACAGTAAAACCAAAATGATCTTCATTTTAAAAATCATTTTCTTATATTCCACTATAGGCTTTTGATACCAGTAGATCAAATTTACCTAACTGGAACTTAGGTAAATTTGGTTTTATGATCATAGTGCATCCACATTAATCTGTTACACTGGCTGCAGGCTAACTTTCCAAATAAAGAGGTCAGCGCTCTGCCAAAATATGATCAGGACTTACCCTACAGGGGTGAAGGATGTCTTCTGGAGGACGGTGGCTCTGGAAGCAACAGATTTAGCATGTTCTAGTTTAACAGAGGCCTGAGTCAGAGGCTGAGACAGAACATTGGTGACTTGCAACTGAAAATTTTAAAAAAACATTATTTGTTACAACAAAGGCTGCAGGAATAGAGAATTTTGTTTCTGGGACGATGCATCTATAGGGTGCAGGAAAGCAAATGCCCTGCATCGGAGAAATCTTTGCAGACCTTTGGTCTGCTGCCTAATCCTAAAGTGGATTATTACAGACATGAGTCACTGCACCTGGCCAATATATTTCCTTCTTTCTGATTCCCTATTCTATCTACTCTACTACAGAATCTTTAAAAGAATTTATCAGACTGGGCATGGTGGCTCATGCCTGTAATTGCAGTGCTTTGGGAGGCTGAGACAGGAGGATCACTTGAGGCCAGGAATTCAAGACCAGTGTGGGCAACATGGCAAGACCCCGTTTCTATCAAAAAGATAACATTTTGTAAAATTAAAAAATTAGCTGGGCATAGTGGCATGTGCTTGTAGTCCCAGATATTCAGTAGGTTGAAGCAGGAGAATTGCTTGAACCCAAGAGTTAGCATGAGCTATGACTGCGCCACTATTCTCCAGCCTGGGCAACACAGGGAGACCCAGTCTCTGAAAAAGAAAAAGAAAAAATTCTCAGCCAGGCTAGGTGCAGTGGCTCATGCCTGTAATTATAGTACTTTGGGAGGCTGAGATGGCAGGATCATTAAAGCCAGGAGTTTGGGACCACCCTGGGCCACACATTGAGACCCTGTCTCTACAAAAAATAAATAAATAAATAAATCAGCCAGAAAAATACTTTAGGATGGTATCAGCAATGGGAAAATTGAAGAAATATGGATAGCATTAATAACTATCACCTGTTGAAAGTCAACTATATGCACATATTAGGTTGAGCCCTTTACAGATATTCCCTATCAATTGTATGAGACAGACAGAATAATTCTTATTTCACAGATGAAGAAACAAGCCACAAGAGGTAAAGGAACTGACGAAGCCCACATGGCCAGTTAAGTGGTTGAACCAGGACTCAAACCATCTATTTAGCTTCAGAGTCAATTCCTTTTCTACTTTGTTCTCTTAGCTCCTCTTAACTCACAGCAAACAACGTTAATCACATTACTTTTTACCTCTTTGTTGAGGGCATACAAGTTGTATATGTAGGCAGAAAATAGGCAATTTTGAAAAAGAGAATACTCGCTCAGGAGGGTATCTGCAGGGGACACCAAAGTCGAACTAATTGGACAGACAGGACTGTCCTAAGTGGAAACCCAACACTTAGACATAAATAAAATGCTAATTTCTCATGAAGATCTTAGCTTACTGCTAGTTCCCAAACAAGAGCAACAAAATGGACCATAGTCCAGATTCCTGAAAGCCCTCCACTAGGAATGACAATCAGAGGGGCACACTTTGGGCATGGAAGTCATACCTGCAGGATAGCCTGTTCATGAGTGTCAGAAGCAGAGCCCTCAGGCACAACCACAACTGGCACGTGGTAGCGATTATGGGAGAGCACAGCAGCGGCAGACGCCACGCTGAAGGCTTCAGAGAGGGACTCAAAGTTCTTCTTGCTGAAGATCGCGTTCATCAGCTGGATGACCTGATCCTGAAAGGAAAGCAAAATGCAGCTGCTTATCTTCCTCCACTCGGAAGGCATGAGGGACACTGCTGTAGATCAAAGTCACTCTCTATCTGTTTCAGGTGTTCACATGGAGGTCTTTTGGCCACTGATCCAAATTCATAGATGGAGAAAACGCAAATATTCTCCATTTACACTTAGAACTTGGACTTGGTTGTTTTTATCCATCTCCCATTATAAACTGAAATTTATGATTTGTCAGTTATTTAATAAGTGCTTACTATACAGGCTGGGCGTGGTGGCTCATGTAATCCCCTCCCAGGACTTTGGGAGGCCAAGGTGGGTGGATCACTTGAGGTCAGGAGTTCAAGACCAGCCTGGCCAACGTAGTGAAAAACTCCATCTCTACTAAAAATACAAAAATCAGCCAGGCATGGTAGCATTTGCCTGTAATCCCAGCTACTTCGGAGGCTGAGGCACAAGAACTGCTTGAACCCAGGAGGCAGAGGTTACAGTGAGCCGAGATTGCACCACTACACTCCAGCCTGGCGACAGAGCAAGACTCTGTCTCAAAAAAAAAAAAAAATCATTAACAGTCTGGGTACGGTGGCTCACACCTGTAATCCCAGCACTTTGGGAGGCCAAGGAGGACAGATCATGAGGTCAGCAGATCGAGACCATCCTGGCTAACACAGTGAAACCCCATCTCTACTAAAAATACAAAAAATAAGCCAAGCGTGGCGGCACGTACCTCTAGTCCCCCCTACTTGGGAGGCTGAGGCATGAGAATCACTTGAACCCAGGAGGCAGAAGTTGCAGTGAGCTGAGATCGTGCCACTGCACTCCAGCCTGGCGACAGAGTGAGACTGTCTCAAAAAAAAAAAAAATCATAATAACACTTACTACACAAATGCAGGGTAATTCCAGATAACCATTGAGATATTATAAAATACAAAATACATATAATAAAAATCACTTGCTAAATGTCTATATACGCCAGGCATCATGATAGGTGCTTTACATACATTAACTCAAATTTTGACGAAAACTTATAAAAGACTGGTATTACCAATGTTTCCCAAAAAAACAAAACTGAGGCTAAAGGAGGCTAAGTAACTTCTACAGGTCACAACAACATTAGCGAGACTAGCATTCAAATGTAGGACTGTTTGTCTCCAAAGTCGTTCTACAAGAAAATCTGCTCTCTTCGGACTCCCATTATCCTCTCAACTAAGCAACCTTTCCTCCCAACCTGCCTGCAAGTAGTACACAGAGGCTAAGTTTTTATTTATAAGACCAAACTTTACAGCTAAAATGTACATTAAAAGGAAACTAAAATAACTCTCCATGAAAAACTAATGGGGTGCTTAGAGGAGAAAACTGAAAGCAATTTTTTAAAAAAAGTGCAAACTAAAAGGCATTATTAAAATTCTAGAGGTTGTTTTCTTAGGAGGAAACATTTTCCCCTTTGATCAGTTTTGTTTTTTAAAATCTAACATCCAACAAAAGAGCTCTCGTTCCTGACAGTGTTATTCACAGTCAACATGAAAGAATTTTCTTTAATTGGACCAATTACAATTTTCCATTACTGGGCTGTTGACAAGTTAAAATGGGTGACTGTTCACCACAATTGTGTCAAAAGCAGTGACAGCAAAATTATTCCAGCCAAGTACCTGGTTAGCAGCAGATTGAAAATAAAGAAAGAAAATGTTTAAGTTGTGTCTGTACAAATCAGCAATTCATCTACTTTACTGTATATAGGACAATCTGTAATCTGTACTGTAAGACTCACACTCCTGCACTCTCATCCATAACAGAAATTAAAAGGGAGCATATTTCTTTTTTTTCTTTTTCAATTTTTTAAAATTGCATTTTAGGTTTTGGGGTACATGTGAAGAACATGCAAGATTGTTGCATAGGTACACACATGGCAGTGTGATTTGCTGCCTTCCTCCCCATCACCTATATCTGGCATTTCTCCCCATGCTATCTCTCCCCAACTCCCCACCCCCCGCTGCCCCTCCTCTATATCCCCCCTACAGACCCCAGCGTGTGATGCCCCAAAGGGAGTATATTTCTAGACCTCCTACACTTAGGACAAAGGAAGGGACACAAAAAGAATGCAAACACACGAATAACTCATTTGACCATATCCTCTGGAGAAAATATGAAATGAATTCCAATTATCCAAGACAGATAACTACTTAAAGAAACTTGGTACAAAACTCGTAATGCATAAAGAAATAAAATTTCTCACTTAAAACCCAAATCTCTCCTCCTAAAATTTAAATAATAGCAGCTTGTATTTTCAGTACTTTAGATTAAGAGCTGGTAACTTCTCAGACACTGGGGTACAAAGAAAGTCCTACTCAAAAAGACTTCCCACACACATTTCAACTAAAGGTTCTTTCAGGTTAACAACTTCCTCTTTAAAAAAAGGAATTAACTCTTGGCAGATGTGTGATAGACACACATGCCTCTCCCTGAACTATGCCCATCAGCAAAGATTAGCTAAGATTTCACCTGTTACTGAGGATAAAGGGTGAGGGAGGAGAAGCAATTTTGAGCCCCCAGAAGGGTTTGAATGGGCCACCAGAGTGGAAAGCATTCAAGAGACAAGCAGAAAGGGGTATTGGGAAGAAAGGGAGATCAAACAGGAGTGATACATGTGGCTTTCTTGACACTACCTCATGACATGTACATACCCCCATTAAGGCTAAGTGTGGTTTGTTTACACATCTGTCTCACTAGCAACCCACTTCTTGAAGACAGACATTACATCTTTCCATTTCTCATTCTTTTTTTTTGAGACAGAGTTTCGCTCTTGTTACCCAGGCTGGAGTGCAATGGCGCGATCTCGGCTCACCGCAACCTCCGCCTCCTGGGTTCAGGCAATTCTCCTGCCTCAGCCTCCTGAGTAGCTGGGATTACAGGCACACGCCACCATGCCCAGGTAATTTTTTGTATTTTTAGTAGAGACGGGGTTTCACCATGTGGACCGGGATGGTCTCGATCTCTTAACCTCATGATCCACCTGCCTCGGCCTCCCAAAGTGCTGGGATTACAGGCTTGAGCCACTGCGCCCGGCCCTAATTTTTATATTTTTAAGTAGAGATGGGGTTTCATCATGTTGGTCAGGCTGGTCTCGAACCCAACCTCAGGATCCGCCCGCCTCAGCCTTCCAAAGTGCTGGGATTACAAGCGTGAGCCACCACGCCCGGCTCTATTTCTCATTCTTAATGCGTAACCCAAGACACTGAGTGACAGCATTCCAAGGTACTTGTCTGCACACCCCTCTCTGATAAAAGCTATCCTTAACAGATAAAACTGATGACCCCTTTGGGTTTCATGCCTGAAAACTGTTAGACGGGTACCTCCTTAATGGATGGCTCGGTCCCCACATGATCCATGAGCTTGTAGGTGGCAGCTACAAATAATGCTGTTGTTTCCAGCCCTTCTTCAAACTGGAGGTACACGCCCCCCAGTTCATCCAGGCGAGCAACAAGGTCCTGCCATAACAAAACAGAAACAAGCTGGATGTCAAGTAACAGCAGAAATGAGATGCACAAAGCACATCAACCCCACTGCAGACAGCTTCATGACATCTCACTCTAAATCTGAAGGCCATCTCAGTCACTTAGTACTTTCTCAAAAATGGTGCTCACACAGAGCAAAGTATATCAAACAGACATTTGAGGAGAACAGTATCTTCTGCAGTTCTGGGAGGGCTCCTTCCCTGGCCCCTTGTACACAAGCCCAAGCCCAAGCCCAGGAGTCATGGCAAGAAAGGCACCAGCTGCTCTGGGTGGAAGGCCAGTGGGCCAGGCTGCCGTGCACCCAGGAAGCAACATGACACAGACGGTGTCCATGGCCATCCATTTGAATACCACCTACAAAGTATGGCGTTTCCTGGAATTTCTTACTCAATGCTCCAAAAAACGGAGAGAGAAAAACTGCTCTCCTAGGCAACATGACTACGCAGCTAACGTGCCTGTGAGGCACGCAGTGAGAACACCGTCAGGACTGCTTGTTACCCTAGCCAGGCAGTCCATGAGAGAGGCCCCGGAGGAGTATGATATTCTGGGCCAAGGCAAGGATAGAGCAATAATAAAAACCACAGTCATCACTTCCTGAGCACCTATTATGTAAAAGGCCCAAATATTCCTCAGGACACAGTACCCTAATACAAAGAACAAAAGTGTGCCATGGATATAAGAAGCAATGTAACTGGCCATAACAGATCTTGCATGGCTACCTGCAAGACTCTTCTGCAGGGTATCAAAGATATGAGCTGGGAGATCCATTTGGCAAAAGATTCATACCTCAATCTCCTCCACGATGCTCCTCAGGTCAGCCTGCTGGGACAGGTGGGATGCTGTCTGCAGAGCCTGGACCGTTCTGGAAGGTAAAGAGTAGAAACCCGATGAATGGCAAGTCTCCTTTCATTAACTCACCACTTCCCATATTTGGACACCTTCACAAATATCCCACTCTTGTTCTTTAGAAGTACAAGTTGGTCTTAGCCTTTAAGGAGTTTACTTATAATCCATTTAGGACAGGTATGACAAAACCTGGAAAAGACCATCACAGCTGAGATGGCAACCCAGACAACAGAACTGGCAATGAAAATGATGGGCACTGGGCTGGGCGCAGTGGCTCACGCCTGTAATCTCAGCCCTTTGGGAGTCTGAGGCAGGCAAATCCCTTGAGTCCAGGAGTTCAAGTCCAGCCTGGGCAACATGACGAAACCTCACCTCTACTAAAAATCAGCCAGGTATGGTAGCATGTGCTTATAGTCCCAGCTACTCAGGAGGCTGAGGGAGGAGGATTGCTTGAGCCCAGGATGTAGATGTTGCGGTGAGCCACTGTACTCCAGGCCTCAGAAAAAAAAAAGATTGAAGCAAAATTCACATAAAATTAACCATTCTAAAGTAGACAATTCAGGGGTGCTTACTACATTCACAAAGCCATGCAACCACCACGTGTCTAGTTCCCAAATATTTCCATCGGTCTAAAATAAAATCCATTTGTTGAGCATTGTGGCTGACACTTAAGCCTGGAGGTTTGAAACCAGTCTGGGCAATATAGTGAGACCTCATCTTTACAAAAAATTTAAAAATTAGCTGGGCATGGTGGCACATGCCTATAGTCCCAGGTGCTCCAGGGGCTAAGGTAGGAGGATCACTTGAGCTGGGAGGTCGAGGCTTCAATGAGCTGTGATTGTACCACTGTACTCAGCCTAGGTGACGGAGTGAGACCCTGTCTCAAAAAATAGATAAATAAGGCTGGGTACAGTGGCTTTCTCAACAGTTTGGGAAGCCAAGGCAGGTGGATCACAAGTTCAGGAGTTCGAGACCAGCCTAGCGAATATGGTGAAACCCTGTCTCTACCAAAAAGACAAAAATTAGCCAGGTGTGGTGGTGCGCGCCTGTAAACCAAGGTACTCAGGAGGCTGAGGCAGGAGAATTGCTTGAATCTGGGAGGTGGAGGATGCAGTGAGCCAAGATATCACTGAACTCCCGGCTGGTGAGAGTAAGACTCCGTCTCAAAAAAAAAAAAAAAAAAGTAGATAGATAGGCAGATAGATAAAACCCACTGAGCAGTGTCTCCCTACTGTGTCCCCCGTTACCCCCCAAGCAACCAGCAATCTATGTTCTATCTCTATGGATTTGCCTATTCTGATACTTCATAGAAATGGAATCATACATCCGTGTCCTTTTAGGTATGGCTTCTTCTGCTCAGCATAATGTTTTCAAGGCTCAGCCATATTGTAGCATGTATCCATACTTCATTCTTTTTTTGGCTTATTTATATATTTTTATATGTAATTCTGGAAGATAGGCTTTTTAAGATGGAATATGATAGGTGTATACATGTAAGATTTATTAGATTCTATTCTCTTAATGCAGATAATTTAGAAAATATAAATGGTGCTTTTCTGAGTGAAATGGGGAAAGCAGAGGCCCCCTGGTGGTTAAACGGACTGCTGCTTCCACGGCGAATGGTTTCCTAATTCCTAAGAGATGACTGGGCCCTTGTGTAAAACCACCACTTATCAAATGTGTCAGGGAATGTAGAGCAAGAATATGTCTGCTTATGTCAAGATCATAACAATTTAGATTCTCTCCATGGGAAACTAATTCCATTAAGATGACAAGCTGGAAAACAGCAGAGTCACAATTTACAGAGAGACAAGCCCCAGAGTACTCAATGACACCCATGGGATGCTTGTTGTTATAATACACCTGAGAAAATGAAACCTGAATTTCCAAAGGAGATAAAAATCATACATCTGCCCATGATAAACACTGAGCTCAGAAAAGGCAGTTAAGATAGCCCAGAAAGAACTTCTCAATTAAGATAACATTTTTTTCTCTTTGGAATGAGTGAGTGCCATGCTGCTAACAACCTCAGAAATTTTAGAATGAAATTAATCCACTGAGTTTTAGAAAGTTTTGTCACTGGCTTTAATTACTTATTCCCCAGCCAGCAATTTCTTTTTCTCTGGAGTAGAGTACTATATTCAAACGGTAAGAAAGCAGATCTTATCTTGCTAATATACAGCAGATGATTCAGAGAAACTGATTTATGAGAGACTACAAATGACATCTTCTCAGATGGTTCATTCAAACCTACAAATATTTTCTTTTTTCCATTAAAGACAAGTTTACAAATATATACTTCCTAGAATAAGTCCATTTAAATATGGAAGGCCCACTCAGAAGAGTTCTAATTTATATCAGATTGCCTTTAAAAGGGCACATTAGTAGTAATATTAAATAAGGCATCTTACCCGTTGGATTTCACAATGACCCTAATGAGACATTCTCCAGGTCTGCCTATGAAAACACTGAGGTTTAGGGGAGCTAAACAACCCACTCAGGGTCACAGAGGTTGAGTAGAAGAGTGGATGTAAACATAGTTCTTTCTTTTTTTTTTTTTTTTTTTTCAGACAGAGTTTCGCTCTTGTTACCCAGGCTGGAGTGCTATGGCGCGATCTCGGCTCACCGCAACCTCCGCCTCCTGGGTTCAGGCAATTCTCCTGCCTCAGCCTCCCGAGCTGGGATTACAGGCAGGCGCCACCACGCCCAGCTAATTTTTGTATTTTTAGTAGAGACGGGGTTCCATGTTGACCAGGATGGTCTCGATCTCTTGACCTCGTGATCCACCCGCCTCGGCCTCCCAAAGTGCTGGGATTACAGGCGTGAGCCACCGCACCGGGCTCATAGTTCTTTCTGATCCAAAGCATATGCTCTTTCTAACTACAAGCTTTCCACAAGACAGCTGAAACACAAAAGTATAGTTTCATCCTTTATTAACTCCACTGGGTACAGACCATGTGCCAGGTTCCGTAAGCACTACAAATAAAGCTTATGGCTGGGTGTGGTGGTGTATGGTGACTACAGTCTCAGCTCCTCAGGAGGCTGAGGTAGGAGGACTGCTCAAGCCCAGGAGTTTGAGGCTATAGTGAGTCTTAAATATGATTGCATTGCACAGCAGCCTAGATGACAGAGTGAGACCCTGTGTCCCAAAAAAAAAAAAAAAAAAAAAAAACACTTATGATCTAACAGAAATAACAACAATGAAGGAGGTAAAAAACTCTCTAAGAAAGAGACCTAACAAACAGATGGTCCAGAAAAGGAACTCCATTTCCTACACGCCCACTCAGAACCAGGCATTGCGCTAGGGTCTTCACATCTATTATCTCACTGAATACTGTCAGTTGCTCTGATGTAAGAATTACGGGTTTCATTTTACAGGGGAGGCTCAGAGAAGTTAGAAATTTGGCCAAAGTCACACAGCAAGGAAGGAAATAGCTGGTGTTCAAACCTAAGTCTGTCTGACTCCAAAGTGGACGTACTTCCCTTGTACTTCCTCCTGGGGTTCTGAGATTTTGAGGAAAGAGATTTTCCTTTTTGCTTGGAGGGAAATGGGAAGTTTTTTGTAGAAGGCAGCACCAAAGTAAGGCACAGGCACTAACAGTGACATCATGGCATGAGATGATGGTGACTGGAGAAGCATTCCCCATGAAGGATTACAAGCAGAGATCAAAATATCTCCTGAAATCAAAACCCCAAAAGGGCCAAGCACAGGGCAAAGTGTGTATAAAATGTCAGCCCTAGAGTCACTGATGACTGACCACGTGAATATGAGGAGGGTGTGAGGATGACAGGGAGGGAATGTCAGTTGCCTGTAACCTGCCCTTAACAAAGCTTTAAGCTTAGAGAAAATCTGGCTGTTAGCAAAAACAAAAAACAAAAAACAAAAAACAAAAAAAACAAACTGGGAAACAACCTCACTGTTCTGAAAGGGGGAGTTGGTATCACCAACCTCCTGCTAAACAATGAACAAGATTCCAGAAATGTACTCCACATCCTCTTTCAGGGTTTGCAATTAAACGGTCTACACAAAGAAAACAGTTAAAAAAAAAAAAAAATTACTGTTTTAAACGATGAGTTTAAGTGTTTAAAAAAAAAAAAATTAAACTAGCCTGGGCAACATAGAGAGACCCCATCTCTACTAAAAAGTAACAAAAATTGGCCAGGCAGCCAGGCACAGTGGCTCATGTCTGTAATCCCAGCACTTTGGGAAGCTGAGGCAGGTGGATCACTTGAGGTCAGGAGTTCAAGACCAGCCTGGCCAACATGATGAAACCCCATCTCTACTAAAAATACAAAAATTAGCTGGGCATGGTGGTATGTGCCTGTAATCCCAGCCACAGACACTGAGGCAGGAGAATTGCTTGAACCCAGGAGGCAGAGGTTGCAATGAGCCAAGATCACGCCACTGCACTCTAGCGTCGGTGACAGAGTAAGACTCTGTCTCAAAACAAAACAAAAAAAAAATTAGCTGGGCATGGTAGTTTGCATCTGTAGTTCCAGATACTTGGGAGGCTGAGGCAGGAGGATCACCTGAGCACAGAGTTTAAGGCTGCAGTTGAGTTGTGACCACACCATTGCACTTCAGCCTGGATGACAGAGTAAGATCCTGTCGCTAAATATTTAAAACTACATATATTATTACTTAAGAGCTTAGCAAAAACACCCGAAAGTCAGTTACAATATTTCCATTTATAAGAAACAGGAAAGGTGCTTCTCCTTCACCTAAGCCTTTTGCATAGTGGAGTCTGATTCCTGGAATACTCCACCCTCTGAGCCTCCACCTCTCCCACCAGATGCTGCCTCTCACAACTTTCAGGGATCCTGTGAGCCCCCACTTTGCAGAGCCACCATTGCCAACATGTCATCCTGCCCTGGCCAAGCCTCAACAAGACATGCATGTGGCTCCTTGTCAGTTACCTGCCCTTGCTCTAGCCTTCCAACCTCAGAGGGCAGCTGGATCTCCAGGTGTTAGCGCGCTCACGCTCTGGCTCAGCACTTGCCCCCTCTTTGCAAGGCTTGCAGAAGACTGCGTCCATGTGAGCTCCACAAGGACAGGGACCTTACCTGCCTTCCTGCAATCGTGTTTGCGGTGCCTCGCACAGCACCTGGCACACAGAAGTAATTACCGGAAGTATTTGCTGAACCAATGAATGGGCCCTCTTAGGACAGGGCCCGAGACAAGTGAAGCCTGCAAAGTGCTCAAGATGACAACTCACGCCAGCACAGTCTCCTCCTTGCTGAGGCGAGCGGTAAGGGCACTGAGCGCTTCTTGGGATGCCAAGGGAAGGCCAAAGCCACTGAGAGCGGCAACTGCATGGTAGATCTGGGTAACAGATGAGTCCTCACTGACAGCTGCCAGAAGCAGGTCTTTGGTCTCATTTGAAATAGAAATCTAAAAAAGAATTGGCAGACACAGGGTTTTAGAACAGGTCTTGGCAATTTGTGGCAGGCATGGCAAAGACAGCATACAGAGCAGCTGCCAAAGTCACACCCGCCTCGCACATGCTCCTCCCCCTCTAATCCCCAGACACCAGGATTAAATGTTCGCAAAACCTCAGTACAACACTCGCATTTGAAAACATGCAGACAAGTTACCTTTCTACTTACATGTTTCTCCTATGTTCAATAAAATGACTTTCCAGAAACTTGGTGTAGGGGTACACTTTGAACATTTTTAAATGTTAAAGATGGAAAGGAAAAAAATCAACATCTCCCAGAAGAAAGACAAAAACTGCACAAAAAGGTTATTTAAAACCCTTGAAAAGTAAAAACTTAGGAGAAACATAAACTATACTTTCAAAAATCACAGGAATGGAATTCCCACTCACAACAATGAACTCTCATTGTTAAAAAAAGGATTTTTGACATGACCCTTCCCCTTTTAAAAATGCACCTTATAAAAATTAGCCAGGCGTGGTGGCACGCGCCTGTGGTCCCAGCTACTCGGGGGGCTGAGGTGGAAGAATCACTTGAACCCAGGAGGCAGAGGTTGCAGTGAGCCGAGATTACGCCACTGCACTCCAGCCTGGAGACAGAGCAAGACTCAGTCTCAAAAAAAAAAAAAAAAAAAAAAAAAAATGCACTTTACAGTTAAAGTCACTGTCAGTGGAGGAACCCGGACTCACCTCACATCCTGAGAGGGCCTGGCTGGCCTGGGCAGCGTAGAAGAGGGAATCCACATTGCTAGGATCAAGGTTAGATTTGATGTAGGTACATGCTTTCTACACAGGGAGGAAAAGTCAGTGTTAAGTGGTGACACATCATGAACCAGGAAAAGCAAAGGCGTTTTTAGATTACATTCTAAGCCATTATAGATGGCTTACAGAATGAGCTACAGGAATTTAGTTTTTTAAGTAGTTACTTTCTATAGGACACTATATTACCCAAAATTGCTCACTTCATACAAAGAGCAATAAGCCTAAAGGCACTCGAGTCCTTCTGAACCTTAGAAAGGAAAGAAGGAAACCACTTCACAAATCACTGGTCTGGTCATGGCCTGTGCTGGGTATTTATAAAGCTCTTCCTTTTAATGATGTAACGACCCTTTGGTAGATATTATCCCCATTTACCTGAAAAAGAAACTGGGGCCTGAAACTGGCAAGTAATCTGATGAAGATGACAAACCTACTAAGTGGCAAAGTCTCCTGATTCCAGCTGTACTGGTATCTCCACTTAGATGTCACCAAGGCCAAGTCAGGCTCAACAAATCTAAAATGAGCTTAAGGTTGGGTGCAGTGGCTCACCCCTGTAATCCCAGGCCTCTGGGAGGCTGAGGTAGGAGGATTCCTTGAACTCAGGGGTTCAAGACCAGCCTGGGTAACATGGTAAGACCCATTTCTACAAAAAATTCAAAAATTAGTTGAGCATGGTGGCATGTGCCTATGGCCCCAGCTACCTGGGAGGCTGAGGTAGGAGGACTGCTTGACCTTAGGAAGTTGAGGCTGCAGTGAGCCATGTTCATGCCACTACACTCCAGCTGGGAGAGAGAGCTAGACCCAGTCTCAATAAAAATAAAAATAAAAAACAAAATGAGCTTAAAACCTTCTAGTTCGAGCCAGATGTGGTGGTGGGCACCTGTAATCCCAGTTACTTGGGAGGCTGAGGCAGGAAAATCACTGGAACCCAGAAGGTAGAAGCTGCAGTGAGCAGAAATCATGCCACTGCACTCTAGTCTGGGTAACAAGAGCAAAACTCTGTCTCAAAAATTAAAAATAAAAATTAAATAACCTATTTCTTCACCAGGACTTGGCAGCTCATGCACAGGTATCACCGTGCACCCAGCAACCCAAACCAGCAACCTGGGAACCGTCCTCAACTTTTCCATTTCCCTCCTATCAAGTCTCCCTCTTTTTCATTTCTCAGGTCCGGTCCACCTCCGGTTTCTGTCACTGCCTCAGGGCAGGCCCTTGCCATTGCTCACCCAGACTGTCCCAGTCATCTCCTAAGTGGTCTAAAGCCATGCAGTTCATTCTGCACACTGCTTCCAGAGGGATCTTTGCAAAATACAGGTGTAACTGTGTTGCTTTACCTTTAAAACCCTTGAGCAGTTCCTTATTTTTCTCAGACAAGATTCAACTTCTGACATAGCATAAAATGCGTTTGACTAACCCTCCCTTCTCCATGCTGCCTTCATCACCACAGCCCTACCTCCAACCCAAAAATCTAACCCTCCAGCCTCTTGCAGCTGTACCACGCTCTCACCATTTGCCTTGCTTGACCTGCTGCCTACCCTGCCGGTAGCACCTTTTCCTTGTCCTTCCTGCCTCCTAAATCAGGTCCAATCTTCAACTCTGCTCAGATCTTTACCTCTTCCACACAGTCCTCCCAGGAGAGGCCACATATTCACCTTCTCTAGGGCTTCCCCAAAGCATGTACCACACCGTAGTCACTAGTACTTACTAGTGCCCCCAGTGACTAGTGGCCTAAGATTGGGGACTTTGTCAAATGACCATTACAGTGACTGTAGAGGTACACAGTGACATGCACAGAGGAAGCACATCATGAAACCCACTACTGCTACTCTCAACTCCAAGAAATAGTATCAAATCATTAAAATGCCAAATATTTTGGCTGAAGTAATACAAATTCAGCTATTCAAAAAGATGTGGCCATAGTAATAGTTAAAAGTGGGCATTGGCTGGGTGCAGCAGCTCACACCTATTATCCTAACACTTTAGGAAGCTGAGGCTAAAGAATCATTTGAGGCTGCAGTGAGCTGTGATTGCACCACTGCAGTCGGGCACGGATGGTAGGGCAAGATCCTGTCTTAAAACAAAGAAAAAAAAGTGGGGGGCTGGGTACTGCAGTACTCACCTGTAGTCCCGGCTATTCAGGAGGCTGAGGCAGGAGAATCCCTTGAACCCAGGAGGCAGAGGTTGCAGTGAACCAAGATTTCTGCCACTACACTCCAGCCTGGGCAACAGAGTGAAACTCCATCTCTCCGAAAAAAATAAGTAGGGGGTGCTCCTGGAGAGCAGGACAGGGTGGAGGGCGGAGCAGGGCACGCTACCTTCACTAACAGCTATTCTGCATCAGCCAGCGTTTTATCGTGTGCAGGTGCTACTTCAACCAAAACTTTTTTTTTTAATTTTACAAGTGAAATTTAAATAAGAGCCTCAAATGAATTTCAACCAGAAGTTTTTAAAGAAGCTAGAGGGAGAAAGGAAAGAAACAAAATACTTCATTTGCATCAACTAGGGATCTGAATAGAACAAGTTAAGCTACTCAAGGAGTCCTAGCAGTGGAATGTGAGGAAGCCGAAAATGCGTGCTTTGTCGCCATCTGGTGCTTTACCAATGGAACGACAACACTGGAGACCCCAAAACCAATGACTATGGTTACTTCTACCTCTATCATTACCTCTTTCTGAGTACTTAAAATGTGTCAAACGCTGTTCTAAGTGCTTTATGAGCATTTCTCATTTAATCCCCAAACAATCTCATGCATCAGGCACTCTTATTACCTTAAGTTTACAGATTAGAAAACTGAGGCATTAGAGAGACAAAGTAACTTACCCAAAGTCACTCAGCTTTTAATTGGAGGAACTAGAATTCTCTCGCTCCATAGTAGCCTGGCTCTGGTGTCTGAGCTATAAAACCTCTACTTCACAAGAGCCCACTAAAAACAATCAGTTCTGGAGTAAAACAGCATCATTCCTACACTAATTCTTTGCAAAGACGTATTAAGGTAAACAGGTCCAGCGTTCTGTGGCTTCAAGGCCCAAGATGTTGACGGCAGAGTTTACACAGCAGCAGAAGACCTGAAAACTGCCCCCTAAATGTCCGCCCCCGATCTGCTAGCTTCCAACTTTCTGTGCTGTGTTAATACTCCAGTTAATCAAACATCCTCTTGAGCAGTGCTTTCTTCCATCGTATTTTTTCCCTTACAACTCCCTGAACCTAATCAAATATGGAGTCCCATAGAAAAGACAACAAACCTCTCATCTGCCCTCCCTCGCCTTATTTCCTCCAGAAACAGCTCCCAGTTACTATGGTTGCCTCTCAGACTGGGCTTTGCAATCTCTTCAAAGTTCGTTACTGTGGTGTGCTGCCCAGGCCCACACCAGATCCTTTCCAACCGGGCCCACCTTTCCCGCGGTGCTTCTTATCGCGCTTCCCCACCCACCTCTGCTCCAGCTGCACAAACGTCTCACTGCCCCCAAGCACAAGCACTTGGAAGCCTCCAGGCTTTGTACAGCCTGCCCTCTCCATCTGGAAGCCCACTGCCTCACCAATTCAACTTCTCCTATAACACATTAACAAAACTCAAGACTTATTTTAAAATACAACTTCCCGGCCAGGCGTGGTGGCTCACGCCTATAATCCTAGCACTTTGGGAGGCTGAGGAGGGTGAATCACTCGAGGTCAGGAGTTCGAGACCAGCCTGACCAATATGGTGAAACCCTGACTCTACTAAAAATACGAAAATTAGCCAGGCATGGTGGCACATGCCTGTAATCCCAGCTACTCAGGAGGCTGAGGCAGGAGAATCGCTTGAACCAAAAGGTAGAAGTTACAGTAGGCTGAGAAGGAGCCACTGCGCTCCAGACTGGACAACAAGAGCAAAACTCTCAAAAATAAATAAGTAAAACTTCCCTCAACCCTTCTCTCCCCTCCAATACCACCTTCTCTCTTCCCACACAGCCACACTGATCCAAAAACTTGCCTATGCTCCAGTCTTCATGTCCTCACCTCGGCTCACTCCAATTTGGCTTCTGCCCCCAGCATGCCAGAGGCAACCTCCAAATTGTCAAAGCAGAGGACATTTTCCAGTGCTCACTGCTCAACAATGGACAGACCGATCACTTGCTCATTGGGAAACATGCGCGCCCGCAGCCTTCTGGGATACCACCGCAATTTCCGGGGTCTCCCGCTTCTCCGGCAGCTCCTTCTCAGTTTCAAACTCTCCTGCCACTTCTCAACTCCTAGGCCCGGCTCTCATCCCACCACCTCCTGCCTCCCTAGGCCATCTCATCCATGCCCATGGCTTCATCCCAAACTTCTGCACAGATAATTCTCAGGCCTGTACCTCCAGCCCAGACTTCTGTCAATAGCAACTTACATGACTCAAAGGTTACATGACTCAAGCTCACCATGGTGAAGACCAAATTCGTGATCTTTCCCAGACAAACCTCATTCTCTTCCTATGTTACTATCTTATGCAATGGCCCAACCACCCATTCATGCAGCAGAAGACGGAAGTCCACGTGTTCTCTTTTGTACCCCTCCTGCATTCAACCTTGCTCTGTAGCCCCCTGCTATAGTCTGTCTTCCAAAAAGCAAGAGAGAAATCTTTCCAAAATGCAAACTGAATCACGATACTAGCTGTTGAAAATCTATGGCTTGTTGGAGACAGATCAGAACTCCTGCCTCATTCTTCTCCCGCCCACTCTGTTCTACACACCCACTCCTCCTTTCAGTCTCAAATGTAACCTGCTCTCTAGCCTCTGCATAGGCTGTTCCCTCTGCCTGAAGTCCCCTCCCTCCTTCGTCTCCCAGGTAACTCCTCCTCTCCCTTTAGAATTCAGATGAATCATATCTTCCTTCACTTCAGTGCATACCACATGTCAGGTGCTTTCTAGAAATGGGGGATACACAACAAATAAAATGGACAAAGTCCCTGCCCTTAGGGAATAGAGTGAGATTTGGGTGATGCTGAGAAGTTTGAGCTTTGGGTTTGTTTTTGTTTGTTTTGAGACAGGGTCTTGCCCTTTCACACAAGC